TCACCCAATATATTTGAGAAAACTGAAAATTACATTGAAAAGACTGGCAAATTCCATGGTTTAAAATAGTTAAACATTAATAATTTTGACAAATCTAGTCCCACATTACTGAAATTTGTACAAATGATGCAGAACAACAATAAAAATCTGTGATAAGCTTATCAGTGGACTGTATGTAATAGAAGTGTAGTTTATTGGCAATTTTTGTGAGAATAGTGAATTACTGAAAACAAGTTTTTCAATTTTTCAACATATCATTCAGTCTCAAATGAAACAAAATGTTATGATTTGAGTTCGTTTGTGTAAGAAGTGGCAAATTACCCACAAATGTCATCTGAAAAACAACATATAACCATTCAAGACTTCTCCTTACTGCCAATACCACATGCAGATTCCACCTTACAATGGGTTTCTGGCATCAAGTTTAGCACACCATTTCACAATGTCCTAAATCTTTCCACATACCATGTATTGTACACATGGATTAGACATGGACTAGCTCTTACTGCTATCTTTCACTGCAGGCTTTTTCTAAAGGAAATAGCCATGACCAGACAGGAAGTGTTAGTTGACCAAGAAGCAGCCATGCTATATGGAAAGGGTCACCTGGAATTGAACAGACTAGAATTAAATGGCTTATAGTAGTTAAACGTTAACAATTTTGACAAATCTAGTGCAGCATAACTGAATTTGTACAAATGATGCATAACAACAATAAAAATCTGTGATACGCTTATCAGTTGACTATGTCCAATTAAAAAGATTTTTTCACCCAATATATTTGAGAAAACTGAAAATTACATTGAAAAGACTAGCAATTTCCATGGTTTAAAATAGTTAAACGTTAATGATTTTGTCAAATCTAGTCCCACATTACTGAAATTTGTACAAATGATGCAGAACAACAATAACATGGCAGCAAAGCTGTCAAATGTACAGAAAAAAAGCAGAAAATAACAATGCACAAAATAATGAAAATGCGTATATACAAAAATCAAATTTTCACAAAAAATGTAAAACTTTCAGAAAAATAAATAAACAGACTGCTTTTCCAAAGGAAGCTGCATTTAAGGCCCATGTTTCTTTCCTGTAAATTTGAGAAGAGTGAGTGACATGGTTTTCCTTTAATGGGCACTATGGCAGAAGTGCCTAGAATAGTTTTCTTTAATTTTGATGCAATATTGCATAATGCTTAACAGCATAATCACTATCAATTTTTAATGATAAAATAGAAGTATCATGTTTATTCAGAAAATATGACTAGTAAAGGTCTTTGGGACTATGGAACTTCAAGTATCACCTTGAAATTACCAAAATGAGTTTCATGACAACAGGCATATCAGTTTGCCTTGAAATGTATTTACAGTGTTGAATATATGATGAAAAGATCACAGCAACGGTGATGGCGGCTACGACAGATGCAGGTGACGGCAATATGTACAGACACGTCTGTGTCTGTACATAAAAATGTGCCTGGCAAAGGTCTTCGGGACTATGGGGACTATGAACTTCAAAGTCACACCTTGAAATTGCCAAAATGTAAACAAGACTGAATCTGAGGTAAAAGCACTTATAAACAAGGCATAACTGCATCAAAACCAAACCAATCTAGCTTATTTTCGAACTCGACCTGTATTTTAGTAAGATTAAGCACTCCTGTGAGTTTCATGTCTATAAGCCTATTGGTTTTCCTCGAAATGTGTTAACAGTGTTGTATATATGACGAAAAGTGAGAAAACAGCTTAACTTATAAAATAATGGCTGATCATGTCAATTTTCTAACTTGACCTGCATTTTAGTAAGATTGATTAAACCTGTGAGCTTCATGACAACAGGCCTATCGGTTGAAAAAAAAGCATAACTGCTAAAATAATGGCCTGATCATGGTGATTTCCATACGTGACCTACATTTTATAAATATTCATCAGCTCTGTAAATATAAAGCCAAAAGTAAAACTGTCTTCCACTTATCATGTTTATGCTGAAAGTGCATGTCGACGGTGACGACGGCGATGACAGACACAGGTGACGGCAATATGTACAGACTCATCTGTGTCTGTACATAAAAAGGCTGCTTTGTTAGTGCAATCTTTGTCATAATCTATTCAGCTTTCTGGCCAATTGGACCACCATTTTCCTAAAATCTACTGAATCCACTGAGATCCAGGTAAATTATTTAATAGACTGGACATTTTCACCTATTGCATTACAATTTGTAATAACAGGACACTTATTTTATTTTGTCAAATGAATTATTTAGAATCATCATCATGTAACAGTTACATTTCATAAAAAGGTAAATTAAGAGTTTATCTGAAGCATACCTAGTGTCATTATTATTATGTACATGAACACAGATGTGTCTGTACATATAGCCGTCACCTGTGTCTGTCGTCGCCGCCATGCACTTTTACCGATAACACGATAAAAAGGAAAACCATTTTTTCTTTAGGCTTGAAAATTACAAAACTGATGAATATTCATAATACACAGGTCAAGTTCAAACTTCAGCATGATTGGGCCATTTTTATGGAAGTTATGCTGTTTTTTTTTAACTTTTCAGAATATATTCAACACTGTAAACACATTTCAAGGCAAACCGATAAGACTGTTGTCATGAAACTCACAGGTTTAATCAATCTTACTAAAATGCAGGTCAAGTTAGAAAATCAGCATTATCGGGTAATTTTTGTGGAAGTTATCCTTTTTTTTCACTTTTTTCAGCATATATGCAACACTGATAACACGATAAGTGAAAAACCATTTTACCTTGGAGCAAATTGGACATTTAAAATTGTTCTATTGATATTTTTCCTATGTCAACAATTTTTTAATTAAAGGGATAATAACTCTTCGTTTCGGCCAAAAAATGAATTTTCCTGGAGTAAACAACAATTTTCCCATGCTTACCAATGGTTAATGAATCCATTTTTACATTCAAAGTTAGTCCCTGGTTTTTTTCTAAAAAGTTTGGTTTTTTTTGTTAAATCTCTTAAGAGATTTTAACAGAGTATAGCCATCAATGGAGGTCACGTGGTCTTAAGACAAGCTCAGATATCAGAATAATAGCCATAACTGCCGTTTTTGTGGTAAAACAGAATATAATAATAATAATAATAATAATATATTTATTTCAAGTCTAAAATCCATAAAATGTTCAATAGACTGTACAACATAAAATACAAAGAAGTTTATAGATAAAAATGGTTAAGATATATTTTATATAAATAAGAGCTAAACTAACTTAATTGTAATAAACAGTAATTAAAAGTAAAAAATCCAAGGTTTCTTTAAAATTATAAAATTTAAGATTCATGAATAAAATGTCTTAAAAATATGAGTTTTTAATTCCTTTTTAAAAGATTCTTGTGATTCTATTTGTCTAAGAAAAATTGGCAACTTATTCCACTCTACTGGTGCAGCTACACAAAATGATATGTCACCATATGATTTTAACCTTGATTTTGGAACTTTCAGTAAAAGTTTGTCACCAGACCTCAGGGATCTTTGAGGGCTATAATGTTTGACTAAATCAGTTATATATGGTGGAGCTAGATTATAAAAAGCAGCATGTGTAAAAACTAAAACCTTAAATAAAATTCTGGCCCTAACTGGTAACCAGTGCAGATGCTTTAAAATTGGAGTGATATGGCAATCCCTAGGCTGTAGCATTAAAAGCCGTGCTGATATATTCTGGATGCGTTGTAATCTTTTGATCTTATCATCTGGACATCCATATAATATAGAATTGCAATAGTCTAGCCTGGAAGTTACCAATGAGTGTATAACAGTAGCAGCAGCAGATTGATTCAGATGTTTCCTTATGGTACCAATATTCCGAATGTTGAATAAACAAGACCTTGTGATGTTGGAGATCTGTTTGTCCATTGAAAGTGTAGAATCAAAGTATACTCCTAAATTTTTTACATGGGGGGAGGAAAATGCCATACTAGCTCCAATTTTAAGTTGNGCAAAAGTACTTTTCTTAGACCAACCAGCTTTGTCAATAATGACTGATATAGGTACTGCAGAGGCTTTTGCCTTAGAGGTAGCTGCAGCTCTAACACTGTGAGAGCTAAATGTATAAGTGTCTATACCAGCTCTACTCATAACAGTTTTTATCCATCTTGCTACTGTGTCTCTTGCGACATTATGATGTGGTTTCATGTAACTTATTAACAAACGTGCACAGTTCTTGTCATTTCTCATGACTTTCGTGCGAAACAAATATTCCTTCAATACAGTATACACACAAAGCCTCCTGTCTGGAGGGTAGGCCTTAAAAGATACTGAAACAACATTATAACCTGGCCTATTTTGTTTTAAAGAACCATCTAACTTGAACAAAAACTCAGTTCTCAATTTTTTATAACCTTGAAAACTTAACAACTGCAAAGTTTGTGTACGTGCAGCTTGAGTCAGAGCCATGAGCATCACTAGCTTTAATGTCAAATCTTTGAGAGTTATATGCTTAACAGGAGAAAGTTTCCTCAAATATGTCAATACTCTTTCAACATCCCACACCTCTGTGTATCTGGGTTGTGATGGTCTGGCTGCAAACACACCCTTCATGTATCTGATAATTAATGGGTGATTTCCAATTCTGAATCCATCAAAGTTTATTCCTAAAGCTGAGAGAGCTCCACGTGCAGTGTTCAAACTCTCATAACCCAAACCTTTATTAAATTGTTCAGTTAAAAACTCGATTACTGCTTCCAAAGTTGGCGAAAGTGGAGTAATCGTCCTTTTACTACAGTACTGAAACCACCTGTTAATGTGTGTGTTATATTGTTTTTGTGTCCCTGTTTTCCAAGACAACATAAGTATTTTGGTAGAGTCCTCTGAAAATCCTCGTTCTCTGAAACTATTCCTGACACTTTGCAAGCAATCAGTCTTAATTTCCCTTCCAAAGGGTGTTTCAACTGCAGGTGAGGAAGTCTTAAAAGATTCTTCTTTTTCTGTATTATGACTGGTTTCTCCACCAACAATTCCATCAGTCTCGGAAACCATGCTTGTGTGGGCCACATTGGTGCTACAATGATTCCCTTGGCTCTGTCCTGTCTGACTTTCTGCACACAGTTTCCCAGTAAGCTAAAAGGTGGAAACAAATAAACTGAGTTAAAAGTTTCCCAGTCAATGGTAAAAGCATCAACAAAAGAGCAGTTTGGATCAGGCTTCCATGAACAATATGTTTCTACTTGAGCATTTATTCTAGATGCAAAGCAGTCTATATCTGGGATTCCCCAAAAATTACATATCTTATGAAAAATCTTGCTGTCTAATTTCCATTCAAGATCATCCTTGAATTCTCTGGAAGCCTTATCTGCTGCCTCATTATTTTTGCCAGCTATATGTGTACATGTTAACCAGACATCATGTGATATACACCAAATCCATATGTCACATGCTACTTTATTACAGTTTTCAGAAACTGTGCCTCCCATGTTGTTAATGTATGACACTGCCGTAGTGTTATCTGACATCACCTTAATATGCTTTGACTTAAGATCACGTTTGAGGGACTTGAGTGCATTCAAAATGGCCATTAATTCTAATACATTAATAGGCAATTTACCCTCTACATCCGTCCATCTACCTCCAATATTATTGTTTTTATAACTTGCACCCCAACCTAAAGTGGATGCGTCTGTATGTAAAGTCTCTGAGGGGTTTGGTCTAGCAATAACCCTATGCTGGGATTTCAAGTTGACAATCCACCAAATTAAATCTGACCTCATACTGTTTGATATTATCATGGGTGCATCATAGTTACCCTTCGATTCTTGTAAAGCCTTAATCTTTGCTCTTTCTAACTTCCTATAGTACAGTTTGCCATAATCCACAGCTGAAAAACTTGCTACTAACAACCCAATGACTCTCGCCACTTGTCTAATAGGTGCCTTTGAAACATTATACAACTCTTCGCATGCAGAAATTATTTTCTCCTGCCTGTCAAGTGGCAGTGTTACTATCATTTTGTCAGAATCAATAACATTTCCCAAAAATTTTAACTTGCTTGTTGGTCTCAAAACTGATTTGTCTTCATTTATGATGAAACCCAATTTGGACAGAAGTGTAACTGTTGCATTTAAGTTCTCCGTACATTCTAAATCATCACTGCCAATTATTAAACTGTCATCAATGTACCCTGAACTAACATAACCTAAACTTCTCAGTTTCCCAAAAACTGGTTTAAGAAGTTTTGTAAACAATCGCGGGCCTTCACTGACCCCATTGGGTAAGCAGGTATATTGGTAGATTTTATCCCTCCACTGGAATCTAAAAAATTTTTGCTGTTCATCTGCAAGTTTAATTGAATAATAAGCATGACGGATATCGACAGACCCCATTTTTACATTTTTGGTTATCAATGGTAGGGTTTTCTCAAAGGTTTCCATCTTAAAATGCTGATATGGAATGAACCGATTTAATTTCTTTAGATTCAGAATTAATCTGTATTCACCATTTTCTTTTTGTCTCAAAAAAATCGGTGATAAAATTTGGCCTGCTTCACTATTCACAGGAATAATCACTTTCATGTCCAATAATTTTTTAATTTCTATGTCAATAATGGACATTTCTAACCTATTAAACTTGCAATTTGATTTCACAATGGC